CTGCGAGCCAGCAGTTCCACCTCCTGCCTGCCGCTCTTCTCCCACTCCCCCTCCTCCCCCACACAGTCGTTATTGGAGAGGCAGGAGACGGGCACCAGCCGCTCAAACCCCTGGGGCGAGCGGGAACGCGCGGCAGCAGCGGCGTGCCAAGACGGCAAACACAGGCGGGGATGGCGCCGACCCCTTTGGTCGCCAGGATGCGGGGCAATGCAAGGGATTGCGCAGCTGCGTGCGTTATCGTGCTCTCGGCTTCCCCCTGCTGTGAACACGACGCCCACGCACCAGCAGCCTGAGGGAGAGGGTGCCGTCTCGAGCCTCACAACACTCGTCCACCCGCGCCAGGCGGTACGCGCCGTTGCTGACAAACCGCACGTAGGCGCCGCGCAGGATGCTGGGCGGCTGCGGCGCGGCAGCTTGAGAGCCACTGTCGGAGAGACCGGCGGCCTCGGTGCCTGCAAACGAATCGTGGGGTAGCAGGGCACTGAGGCGTGTGGGGATGTGGAGACGGCGAGTCGGCGGCGGCGCACGCGGCGGCGCGGGCGGCGGAGCCAGATCGTCTGATGCATGCATTGATGTCGTCACAGTCACAGAGCCACAGGAGGAGCGTTGGGAGCGCACCTTTGTGCTTGGTTAGGCGGCGCCAGGTTTTGATCAGCTGGAGCTCCAGGGGAGCGATCTTTGCGGCTTGATGTCGTGTCACGAATGCCAGGCGCACTGTTGATCTCAAGATGGGAGCCGGGATGCCGGCGTTGGTCTGCTGACCATCGGTTTGGCCCGCATTGCCCGTCAATGCCGCCAGGGGCAGCTTCTTGAGTGGGGGCACCATTGGCATGTGGGGCATCGCCAGATGGCTTTAAATTGGGGATGGCTGACGTGGCGCCGCCACCGCCGCCGGCCAGTGTAGGAGGCCTTCATTCAAGTGCACACCCTGGACGTGGCCTCTGCTCGCCGACAATCAGGGACACGACCACCACCTTTCTTGCTTGCTTGGTGATGGCTCCACACCAGTCCGCTTGCTGCGGCGGTGGTCCCACACCACCCGCACTTACGCGGCAGCTTGACCCCTGCCCCATCGCCACTGCGCCTGCTAGCATGCACACGCCATCAGCATGCCCCATTACACCTCCTCTTCCAGCACAGCAGCAGCATAGCCCAGGCACTGCTACCGCCGGCTTGCAACCCGGGCGACGCTGTGCCAAGCGCAGCAGGCCGCTGCGGCTGTGGGGCCCTCCAGCAGGTCACCCCTACGGGTGATCGCTGCTTTCCACTCCACATCACGGCCATCACATGCATCGATTGCCCTGGGGCTCCACCTGCCGCTTCTGGGGTCCCCGCATCCGGCCGAACGATTTCGGGGGCGCCGCCAACAAGCAACGGCGGCCATTCTGCTTCACCCGCAGCTGCTCCTCTCCGCTGCCTCGTGCGCAAAACGTGAGGCCGAGCCGCCGCACCTCAAGCCAGGCCGCCGCCGCCTGCCCGCCACCGCCCGCTCAGCCGCACCCTTGCGCCACCCTCCCTCCCTGCCTGTAGCACCCCTGTGTTTAGGGGATGGTGGCCATTCTGGGGGTGGGCAGCCTGTGGATGCAGCTGGCCCTCTGCTTCTTCTTCTTGTCGGGAGTCTTTGCAGAGTGAGCTTGCTTGCCGCTGCCTGGGCCACCGTCTCAAGCCCACCAGCGGCACGTGCTTCAGCCAGGCTGGGTGCCCACTCGAGGAGCAGGCTCGCCTCCCTGCCTGTGAGGTTATATATATACGTGTGTATATTGATGCCGCCATGCCGCTGGCGCCAACCAAATTCACGCCACGCCTCCCTGCCTGCTCCGCACGCCTGCCCCGCCGCCCTCCCGCCCGCAGCCTGCTGCTGGTGCGGCTGTGCCTGCTGGTCGCCTATGCCTTCCTGCTGGCTGCCGGCAGCCTGGGCCTGCCCCTCTGGCCCGCCCTCTCCAACCCTGGCTATATATCCCTTGATCTCATCTGCTGGTGAGTTGGCTGCCCAACACCGCCCCAGCCGACAGCCGCCAGCCAGCCAGATCCGGCCAGGGAACGCGCTGCAGCCCCCAAGCCGCCTCGCCCCGCCCCGCCCCGCCTGCCCTGCTCGCCCGCCGCCACCCGCCACCGCTGCTGTGCCTTCGGCCGCCACCAGCTCGCCGGGGACTTTCCCACGCCGTGCCTCTGCCCGCCCTGCCCTTTCACCCTGCCACTGCCTGCCCTACGCTTTCACTCTGTCTCTGCCCCGCCCCTGCCTGCAAAACCACCACCTGGTTCGAGGCCCCTCAGGTGCGTTGCCAACATCGCGTTCCATGGCCACCAGGCGGCGCGCCTGCTGTGGGAGGAGCGCCCCATCGCCTTCCCCGACCCCGACCAGCGCCAGCTGTGGCGCCTGTTCTGGCGCCGCGGCGGCATGGGGCGGCTGGAGTTCCTGGCCACCTGGCGGCGCTGCCGCCTGCGGTGCTTTGCCGCGGGGGACACGATCCTTGACCACCGGGGCGCGCAGCGCACGCTGGCGCTGGTGGTGGAGGGCCTGGCCAGCTTTAGCATCCACCCCGGGCAACTAGGGTCCCCCGCCCATGCCGGGCTGCAGCCGGGGAACCACGCCTCCTTCAAACAGGCACCTGCAGAGGCAGAGACGGAGGTGGAGGCAGGCGGCGCGCCTACGCCAGGGACTGGTGCTGCCCCGGCGGACGCGGCGCCGGCAGCGGACGCGTCACCGTCGGCGGAGGGGCTGTGTGAGCGGGACATGTACGGGGCCGCGCTGCCCGTGCGGGGGCGCCTCTACTCGGGCGCCATGTTTGACCAGGGGCTGCTCAACGTGCTCGGTGGGTGGACGGGGAGCAGGGGCTGGGGGTTGGGGTGGTCTGCGCGTGTTGTGTGTGTGTGTGTGTGTGTGCGCGCGCGCGCTTGTATGCGTGAGTTGGGTTGGGCTGCGGGGAGGGGCAGGCGTGCTTGCGGAGTGCATTGCGGTTGCGTCACGCCACGGCGGGCGGTCGTTTGCTGCGTTGCATCGCCGATGGGCGCCCTGCCTGGCCCGCACACCACGCGCCGCCGGAAGGCAGAGGCAGGTTCAGTGCCCATATGGCTGGGCCGCCGGTGTTTTCGGACCTTACGCTCATTGTATAAATCCATCTGTATATGCTCAATGTATATACATGTATGCCGCCTGGCGCAGGCATCTTTGTGGCGCTGGAGCTGGACCCCTCGCAGCGTCGCCACATCACCGCAGACACCGACTGCCTGGTGGCGCTGTGGGTGGGCCCCCCGCCGCTGCGTGCCGCCGCCGCTGCGCCGTGCTGTGCTGTGCTGTGCTGCACCGTGCTGTGCCATGCTGTGATGTGCCATGCTGTGCCATGCTGCGGCCTGTGCCGCTCTGTGCGTGGTGCCGCGCTGCCCGGCCGGGTGCCGGCATCATCCCGAGGAGCCCTCGCCCCCTCCCGTCTGCACCCGCTGCGCGCGAGGAAATACTCCAATGAGGCTTTCTGCACGCCCTCCGCGTCCCTGCGGCTTTTCCTGTAATTTTCTGCAGGACCTGCGAGACCTGAATTATCTGGCCACCGAGGCGGGCCCCGCCGTGGCGCACAGCTGGCGCGCCTTCACCATGTGCCAGGTAGGCGCGGCGGCCCGCGCATGGCACATGGCCAGCTTATATGGGACCTGCCTCACCCGGCACCTGGTGAAGGGGCCACCCAAACCCATGGCGGCACTGGCCACACAGGTGCACCCACGCCGCGCCACGCCCTGCCCCTCAGAATCCCCTTCCTTCCTTTCCTCCCTCGCTCCCTCCCTGCCTGCCTTTCCTCCCGGCTCCCAGATGGGCCTCACCTTCCGCTTCCGCGCCTTTGGCGAGGCGCTCAACTCCCGCAACGAGCTGGAGCCGCCAGAGGTGCTGCTCTCGGGTGAGGGTGCCTGCCGCCAGGTGTCCGCCGCCGGTGGCGGCCGTGCGAGGAGGGCGGCGGCGCTGGCGTGCACCGGCGCGCGTGCCGGGAGAGCAGGAGGCACTCCCCGCGCGCTGCCGCACAGGCGTGCGCTGCCTCCAGCCTGGCGGCAGCCAGCAGCCGGGGCGCCCCGCAGCCAGATCCCCTCCGTCCACCCGCTGCCCGCCTCCAACCCCCTCCGCGGCTGCCCCTGCCACCCCACTGCAGGCGCCCGCAGTACTGACTTAACCGACCCCCTGAGCGAGCGGGAGTACCCTCGGGTGACGTGGCGCAGCGTGCTGGCCGCGGTGCGCGCCGACCTCGCGCTGTCCACCCCGCCAGGCCTGCGCCACATGGGGCTGCCGGTGCACGGCTCCCAGGTGCGTGCGCTTGTGTGTGTGTGCGTTGGGAGGGGCCGCCTGCGCCTCGTCATGCCGCCTGCAGCTGCTGTTGGGTACTGGCCGGGCAAGGGAGCGCTGGGACGGCGTCGCCGGCCCGCCGGCGCGCCGGCCTGCCAGGCTGCAGCACCGCCGGGCCGCCTGCCTTGCTGGCCCCTCGTCGGCACGCAGGCGCCTCCCGTCTCGCTGCCCACAAGCGACGGCACCATGCTGCTTGCCGCCGCGCCATGCCCCAACCCGCACCTGTGCGCAGGCCAGCCGCCGAGTGAAAGCGATCCTTCGGGCCACAAACAAGCAAGTGTCCAGCCGCACGCTGGATCGGCTGATGGGGGAGGGCCAGACCAGCAAGCTGTTTGCGGGGCTGGCCCGCCTGCGCACGCTGTCGCTGTCCCGCATCTCGCTGAGCCGCAGCAGCCGCAGCGGCTTGGTGGCGGCGGCCCTCGAGGCGCCGCCCAAAGGCCAGGCGGCGGCGGTGGCAGATGGGCAGCCGCTGGCCCAGCTTGGCAAGGTGGTCACACAATGAAGCGCAGGGCGGTCTCCTCCTGTTGTTGCAACAAAACGTGGAGAAGAGCTGTGGCGAGGCGAGGTTTGCAGCACAATTCAGGCATCAACTTCAGGCGTGGACACTAAACAACGAGCGAGCAGAACTGGGCAACTGTGGCAGCAGTGTGCCGCCAGGCGACGACTGGCCACGAGCTCAGCCAGGCGCTGCCTTGGCCGCCTGCCGCGCCTTGTACACCCGCCGGTGCCCGCCGGCGCGCCAGTCGGCATGGGAGCAGACGGTACCGCAGTACCACACTGTACGGCACTGCCCACACTGCTGGCTGCCAACGCCCTGCCCCGCGGCGGGGCCCCCCTCGCCGCCCAGGTTGCTGCAGGCCAGGTAGGCACAGCTGCGACCAGCGGCAGCCTGCACACGCTCCAGCCGGGCTGCGGCCGCCTGCCCCGACTGCTGCCAGCCCTGCTGCGCCAGGTCGGCGAGCGCGGCTAGCGGCTGGAGCAGCGCCGAGGCTTCTGAAAGCGCCTCGCCGGAACCTGCCTCGGGCACCGGTGGTAGCGCCTCAAGCGCAGCCGCCAGCTGCTGTGCCAAGTCTGCTGCTGGCGCCTCTTGGCTGCTGCTGCCTCCCTGGCCGCTGCCGCTGGCGGCCTCCCCAGCCTGGCTACCCTCCAGCAGTGCATGAAGAACGCTTTCAGCAGCGCTCTTCAAAGCATCAACCAGCGATCGGAATGTGGCCTGCAGGCAGGGAACCAGTCGCTTGCGAAGTGCAGAGTCAACACCAGGAAGGCAGAGCCTCAGGCATGCGTCTCTCGCTACCTGGGGGTTGTCATGGATCCTGGCATGCTGGCTTCACTGCATGCGCACGCTTCTGCGCCCCAAGGCAGCCAGCATCAGCTCACTAGATAGCAGCATGGGCAGCATGCCGGCTTGGGCCAGAGCGATGGCCACATGCGGCTGGTCGGTGCAACCAGAGGCCAGTATGCCGAGCGCCTCTGCCTTATAGGCAGCACCGCTGGTATCAAGCGTCTCCTGTGCACGCAACAAGCAGGATCCAAGGGAGTATGGCCGGTGCTTGCGCTCATTCCGATACAAGGCTAGACATGCGAACGCTGGGTGCCAGGCTGTCTGCACATGCTGACGCCTGCGCGGTGGGCCGGCGAGGGGACCTGCAAACCCTCGCGGCACCACACGCTGCGCTGCCAGCCATGAAGCCAAGCCAGCCCCCGGCCCTGGCCTCACCGTTGGGCAGCAGGCCTCCACAGCTTGCAGCAGCTGGGCCAACAAGCTCTCATCCAGCAGGTACCAGCAACTGAGGGGAGTCAACTTTACGCCATACAGCACAGCGCCCATGCAGCTGGTTTCAAGGGCGCAGCCGCTGCCGGCCTCTTCTCCGTGCTGCAATCTTAGCAGCGACAGCGCATCTGGAGCGGCCAGCAGCGCACGCAACGCCTCAAAGTGTGCTGCATACAGCGCACGCATCGAGCTGCAGGCATTGGCAGGCAGCAATAAACAGGTGCCGGTAAGTGGGCAGCAGCTGCGCGTGCACTTGCATCATTGCAACACTCGACAACCTCGGCCGCTTGCCTGCTTTGGAAGCAGGCGCTGCTGTCGGCGCTGTCTCCGACTGCCTTTAGCGCCACCAGCAATGCAGCAAGCTGCAGAGTGTTGCTATGGCCAAAGATGGCGCCCTGCCAGAAGCCCTCAATCAGCGCAGGGTGGTCCGGCGCTTCTAGCAGCCAGTGGATCAGGCGGCAGCTGCGGCTGTGCAGCTCGCACAGCGACTCCACCAAACCGGCCTGCACCTCCAGCTGGCCAACATTGGCTGCGCTCCTGAAGCTGGCACTTTCTGTCCAATCAAGCGCTCGCACAGCGCCATTCATCCACAGCTGCACCGTGAAACTCACTGCAACGCGGCAAGCTGGCTGCGCTTGCAGCGCCTCCGGATCGTCCTCGCCTCCCCCAAGCTCCTGCTGGCGGCACCAGGCATGCAGCTGAGAGAGCCACAGCAGCAGCCGCAGGGCGGCGTTTGCGGCAGACGCCCAGGCCGCCATCTGCTCGCTGCCGCGCATGGCCTGCATGTGGCCCAGAGGCGCCACGGCCGTGGAAAACCATTAGCAGAGCTGCGCTGCGTGCAGGCCGTCGGCTGGCAGCACCATGGCATGGAGGGTGGCCGCCAGGTGTGGCACTGTCCGCAATAGAGCCAAGGCTGCAGGGCCCCACTCCGATCTCGCGGGGCCGTCGCCGCCGCTGCCGGGAGGCACTGTGCCAAGGGTGCAGAGGGGGTATAGCACCGACAGGAGCGTAACGGCTCCCAAGCGTGCTGCTGGCAGAATATCCGCCTCGGCGCCTCCCACTGCTGGAGGGGGCAGCGCCAGAAAGATGCGCGCCGCACACTCCACTGCTTGCATCCCAAGGTTTGGCTGGCGTGCCAGAACCTCCAGTGTGGGCCGCAGGCAGGGTGCCAGCAGCACGCTGTTGTGAACGCTGACGGCGAAAAGCACAGCCCTCGGGGTGTGCCCATCAGGTTCTGCCGCCGCGGGATCTGCAGCTGCAGGGTCTGCCGCCGCAGCGCTGCCACCGCCGGCTTCCAGCCTGCCAGCTGTCGACAGCGCCTCCAGCTCCGCCGCCAGTGTGCCAAGCTGCCGCAGCAGCACGGACGAGACCGCGTTGCTTGCATTGTCGCCGACCTGCGCTTGGCCGCCAGGCAGCCGGCGGGGCGCCAGAACCATCATCACGTTCACCACGACAGCAAACCGCTGCACCACAATCATTGCATCCTCCCCTGAAGCACAGAGTGAGAAGAGAAGGGCAACGCAAGGGTGATGGATGGCGCCAGGCAGCGGCGCTGGCGGCACCAGCAAGGCTGCCCTGCTGCAGTCCAGCACCAGCATACCCACGCGCAGCCAAACACCAGCACCCACCTAATGGGAAATCCTGTTTGATCGCCTCCGCCAATGCGGCCAGCCACTGAAGCGCCAAATGGGGACGCACGATGGATGCCAGAAATGCCGCTGCCTCATGCTGTGACCCTCGTGCCCCGCTGGCACGCGGCGCCTCGCTGGTAGGCCAGTGATGAGTCAGCACCAGCTCCACCAGGCTGTAGACTGCTTCCAGCTGCATCCTGGCTAAGCTTTCCGTTGCCTCGTTGGCCAGTCTTTCCGCTGTCTCGTCACGCGCCTCCGGCCCACGGCTCTGCGTGGCTGCCTCCATCCAGTCTGTCAGCGCTGCCTGGCCAGCGCCGCGTACCAGCAGCAGGCCGCCGCGCAAGTTTCGAAACAGATCGTTGCGCGTCACTTTCAGCAGCGTGGCGAGGCAGCTGCATGCCACGATGGCGCGGCAGGTGGCGCTCAGCTGACGGTGGCTGGCGAGCGCGTCGTTCAAGCCAGTCGGGGAGAGGGATCGGCGGCTCTGCAGCAGCTAGTTGTTGAGGTGCTGGAGGACCGTGGAGAGGTCAGACATCAAGCTGCAGGCGGGGAGCGGAGCTAGCTGCGCGCTCAGTGATGGGGCAAGTTTGCCGGCTTGCCACCCTGTAGCCGCGTGCACTGGCGTTGGCGGAGGGAGGCGGGCCCTCACACGGCGCCGCACCTGTTGAGCTCTGCTCCATCGCGCAGGTTGATAGAGATTGTGGAGTGCGCGGCCAGCAGAAACTCAGTAGCCTCCGCATCAAGCGCCATAGCGACCTGGAAACCTCGGCACGCCGCCAGGCCGGCGATGAGGTGACGCAGGTGGCGCTTCAGGTGGCCAGCCATGGCATGATGGAGGAAGGCGACAACGGGCGACAACGGGAAGGCCGGGAAACCCTGGTCGGCGGCGGCGCGCAGCACGCAGCGTGCGTGAGTCTGGCTCCCAAGGCAGGGCGTGGTTGGACTGCCCGCCGCTGCGCAGAAGCCCTACTGGCGCATGCTGTTGGTACACATGTCACACGCCAAGCCTGGCAGCCTGGGGAAAGGGAGCACCAGCACGCTCGGCGACGCCGCCCCGCCGCCATGCAGGCTGCTGCTGCGTCTCGCATTGTTGGCCCCTGCTTCAGGCAGCTCGCACCGGGGCAGGCAGCTCTGCCTACCAGACCGCGCCAGCTGCCAGCACCAGACCGCGCCATACTCTGCACAGAGCACAGGCAGAGGAGGCGCGCCGCGCCGGTTCTGGAGGTCCACCCCTCGTTGCCTTACATGCTGAGGGCGAGCCCGCCGCGGTCGCCTGCACTTGAGTCAACACTAAACGAGCGCCACGCGGGTGCCACCGCCGCTGCGCCGACCGGCGGCGGCTAGGCCACCCGCGGGTCGGCATTCATATGCCAGGCATACGTCATCTCGTCCCAGCCGCAGCTGGCCAGCAGCCCCTCCACCAGCGTGCTCCAGTCCAGCCCCACCGCAAACTCGGTGTGGTGGTCCCACACCCGCACCAGGGCGTCCTCAGGGGCCGCATAATCCCACAGCCGCACAGTCATGTCGTAGCTGCGGCAGGGGTGGAAAGAACGCGGGGGGTTGATGAGGGGAGCAGGAGAAGGCGGTGGTAGAGTTGGGGAGAAGAGGTGAGCATGCAGCGGCAGGCAGGCAGGTAGGCAGGCAGGCAGGCAGGCAGGCCGAGGCAGGCAGGAAGGCAGGCAGGCAGGCAGCTGGGTGTGGCACGGGAGGGTCCCCCACCGCAGGCTTGCCTGCACGACGCCACCAGCGTCTCGGCGTGCGGGCTGAACAGCACGCGCCGCACCGCATAGGTGTGCCCCAGCAGCGTGGCCACCGCCCGCTCAGGCATGCGCACATCCCACACCTGCGGGGGATGGATGGGGAGGTGCAGGGGTGCGCAGGCGGGTGGGTATGGAGCGAGGGCGTGTGCGTGTATGCCTCTGTGAGGGACTGCCTGTGCTTGGGTGCTGGCGGGCGGGCTGGGCAGCAGTGGTGGTCTGGTAGTCACGGGCCAGCCATCCCACAGCCCGCCGCCCACCCCTGCCACCGCCCACCCGCCGCCGCCTACCCCTGCCGCGGCCCACCAGCCGCCGCCCACCCCTGCCGCAGCCGCAGCTGCGGCCCGCCGCGTCCCCTCCCGCAGCCGCCACCCCAGAGGCCCTGTGCCCACCCGTATCGACTTGTCCACGCTGCCCGTGGCGATGACGCAGTCGTTATATTTGCACCAGTCTGCCGCCAGCACCTCGTACGCGTGCGCCGCCAGGCTCAGCGTGGGGCGCGGCTGCCGCAGGTCCCACACCTGGTGGCGCGTGGGAGGGATGGGAGAGGGGGAGGGGGAGGGAGGGATGGTGTGAGGGAGGGGTGAGGTGGGGCGTGCAGCTGGAGAGAGGTTGGCGCCTCCCTAGCAGCCCGCTTGCTCGCCCGCGCGCACGCAGCGACTGAACACGTCCCGCCCGCTCCTCGCCGCTCCTCACCGCTGCCCCATTTGCACCACACCCACCCACCGCACACACGCACACGCCTCGGTCGTGCATGCCCAGAGGCCGACGGTCGCGCCCGCCGCCACACCCCTGCCACACTCCTGCCACACTCCTGCCACACACATGCACAGACACACCTACACACACTTACCACACACACACACACACACGCCCACCTTGACCGTGCAGTCCCCCGAGGCCGACAGGAAGACGTCTGCCTGCTGCGGGTTCCACTGCGCCGCATACACGCAGTACGTGTGCTCGGCAAAGGTGCGCAGGGAGGTGGGGGCCTGCGGGCGGCCAGGGCTGGGAAGCGTCGATGGTCGGTCGACGGCGGCGGCGGCGGCGCTCCAGGTGCCACGACATGCCATGCATCTTGTGCCTCAGCCAGAAAGGAGGCGGGACCGGAGCGGGCCGCAAGCGAGGGCGGCGCACGGCAGGCTCGGCCAGGTCAGGGTGGCCCCGCTGGGCCAGGGTAGGGGCCACCCCGCATCCTTGCCGGGCCTGGCCCGCTCTGCTGCAATGGCCACCCTGGCAGGTGCCGCACCCTTGCAGGGCGCCAGGATGCACCCACCACCCTACCTGAAGGTTCCACAGCTTGACTGTATCGTCCCAGGAGCCCGACAGGAAGCAGTCTCGCCGCACCTGGTTCCAGTGCAGGCTGTACACCTGCGGCACGCGTGGCACGGGGCAGTACCGGGTTGCGGTACATATGCGGTACGGTGATGGCACAGGTGGCAGGGTGGGGCATGGGGAGCAGCCCGCCAGGCGTCTACCGGCATGGGCAGAGGGGCAGGTGGCAGGTACCGAGGGAAGGCAAGAGATGCCGCTGCATGCGAGAGCCGGCCGCTGGCAGCCGCCTGCCGGGGCCGCTGCGAGCATGCAGAGCGGGCCCCCAGCAGCCCACCCACCGCAGCTGCTACCGCCCCCCACCTCGTGTGTGTGCTCCTCAAAGCTGCGCAGCGGGTTGGCCTGTGGTGGAGCCGCCAGGTCCCACACCTGGCACGAGGGTGGGTATGTGGTGATGTACCACGCAGTTTAGCGGTTTGCAACGGTGGGGCGGAGATGCTGCCCAGCCGCAAACCAGCCCAGCCGCGCCGGCTGCGGGGCCTGCCCCGGAGCCCTCGAATCCACAGCTGGGCGCCTGCTGCTGCTGCTTCCCTTCCCCGCCCACATCGCCACCCACACAGCCACGACCACCCCACCACCCGCGCGCCAACCTTGATGCTGCCGTCCCCGCAGGCGGACACCAGAATGTTTTCGTTCTCCTCGCTCCACACGCAGTCATACAGGCCGTCCACAGTGTCAAACACGCGCACCTCCTGCAGTCCGCCGGGGCCCATCTGGGGCAAGGGCACGCCAGGGAGGAAGGCAGCGAGGCAGGCGGGGGGGTGGGCAGGGTGGCAAACGAGGCTGCAGCAGCCCCGGGCCGCCTGCCTGCAGCAGGTGATGCCGCCGCATGCACTACCCCGCTGCTCCAGGCATTTTCCGCAGCCTGCCTCAGCACGTACTGCCCCCTGTGTGTACTAAAAAGTGCCGCAACCTGCACACCCTCCCCGCGCCGCACCTGCAGCACATACTGCCGCCCGTTGCCAATGATGCCAAAGTTCTGGCTGGTGGCCACAGCCACCTTCGCCTCCTCAAACGGCGAAAAGCGCACGCTGTAGCCCTGGAACTGGGTTCGGAAGCCTGGAGGTGTGTGTGTGTGTGGGGGGGGGGGGGGGGGGG